GGTTTATGACAGGTTATGACAACATAACTGAAGATTAGTTAGCTTCAATTTTTTAGCTTCAATTAAATCTAATTACATTTTCTGAAAGGCATATCCAACATAATCAAAGTCAACACCCTCCGTATAGTTGTGATACTAATTTGTTACTGTTACGTGTTGATGCACTGAGGACTTCCTTCTTGCCTTTTGTGCTAGGACAATGTAGCCTGGTCCCAGTCTGCTGGGTTTCCATGTCACTGTCAAGCCAAAACATTTGAAGAGGTCCATGAAGAGTTGTCAAGAAAGCAGAAACGGACTGGCTCTCAGGCTATAGGACAATGAGCTGATGAACAGAAGATATATAGTAATTGAGGTGATAAGAGCTCTAACTGTGACACGGTAATCTAACATACTGCATGCAGCCCAAGTGTGTAAAGTCAGTTGGAGCCATGAGGCTGATTTCAATATCACACATTATTGAAAAGCCTGCTATTCATTTCACTATAGATACAACTGTCTGTATTATCACACATTATTGAAAAGCCTGCTATTCATTTCACTATAGATACAACTGTCTGTATTTGACCTTCTACTGTCTGCTATTACATTTACCATCCTGCATATTTTGCTATCGTTTTTTCAGTTGGGTTTACAGCCACCAATTCTACTGAAACCGTTTGTCGCCCTTGACTGGCCATTCATACTTCTGGAGAATTTCTCATCTGAATGTCTACACATAGTTAGGTTTCATGTTATGTTAATCTTAAGAGTTTTCAAACAGAAAATAACACTATCACCTCTTCTCTCATCTGTGGCAGTTTTTTGTTGGATTTGAATGTTTAACAATATGCATGTACTCATGACCCATGGTCGACATTAAATATATAAGAGTTTATTATGTCATGTTCCTAGCTCAATGTAATGATGTGATGTTAATTACTGAATGATAAAATAAAATATACAAAAGAGGCAAAAAAGCACATTGAATAACCTATTTAATAAAGATTAGTTTAAAAACAAAAATCTAATCAAAGAAGACTAGATATGATGCAACCAACTATCAGGGATCTCGTGAGAGAGAACCTAAAGCAGGGGCGTTGCATCTATAGAGGCGGCCATTTTTATCCCAGTAGTGAGATAAAAATGGAATTCTAAAAACTAAACATAATTACAGAATATTGTTGTTTAGTTCACCAGCCATAATAGTATAGGGATGGCACATATCCAAAAATATCTGATAAAGTAAGAATTGCAGCCTCAGAAAAAGCGATGTCATTTTCTGCCACTTGGGTTAGAGTGGAGTAGGTTGTGTCTATCACCAGAAAATATAAATAAATAAAATGTTGCCACATTTCAGACTTTAAAACAACAACATTAAGTAAAAACAGTACAGGGGTTCACATACAGTGGGGAAAAAAGTATTTAGTCAGCCACCAATCGTGCAAGTTCTCCCACTTAAAAAGATGAGAGAGGCCTGTAATTTTCATCATAGGTACACTTCAACTATGACAGACAAATTGAGATATTTTTTTTCTCCAGAAACTCACATTGTAGGATTTTTTTATGAATTTATTTGCAGATTATGGTGGAAAATAAGTATTTGGTCACCTACAAACAAGCAAGATTTCTGGCTCTCACAGACCTGTAACTTCTTCTTTAAGAGGCTCCTCTGTCCTCCACTTGTTACCTGTATTAATGGCACCTGTTTGAACTTGTTATCAATATAAAAGACACCTGTCCACAACCTCAAACAGTCACACTCCAAACTCCACTATGGCCAAGACCAAAGAGCTGTCAAAGGACACCAGAAACTAAATTGTAGACCTGCACCAGGCTGGGGAGACTGAATCTGCAATAGGTAAGCAGCTTGGTTTGAAGAAATCAACTGTGGGAGCAATTATTAGGAAATGGAAGACCTACTGTGAAGCATGGGGGTGGAAACATCATGCTTTGGGGCTGTTTTTCTGCAAAGGGACCAGGACGACTGATCCGTGTAAAGGAAAGAATGAATGGGGCCATGTATCGTGAGATTTTGAGTGAAAACCTCTTTCCATCAGCAAGGGCATTGAAGATGAAACGTGGCTGGGTCTTTCAGCATGACAATGATCCCAAACACACCGCCCGGGCAACGAAGGAGTGGCTTCGTAAGAAGCATTTCAAGGTCCTGGAGTGGCCTAGCCAGTCTCCAGATCTCAACCCCATAGAAAATCTTTGGAGGGAGTTGAAAGTCAGTGTTGCCCAGCGACAGCCCCAAAACATCACTGCTCTAGAGGAGATCTGCATGGAGGAATGGGCCAAAATACCAGCAACAGTGTGTGAAAACCTTGTGAAGACTTACAGAAAACGTTTGACCTGTGTCATTGCCAACAAAGGGTATATAACAAAGTATTGAGAAACTTTTGTTATTGACCAAATACTTATTTTCCACCATAATTTGCAAATAAATTAATTAAAAATCCTACAATGTGATTTTCTGGAATTGTCTTTCTAATTTTGTCTGTCATAGTTGACGTGTACCTATGATGAAAATTACAGGCCTCTCTCATCTTTTTAAGTGGGAGAACTTGCACAATTGGTGGCTGACTAAATACTTTTTTCCCCCACTGTACTTTTTCACCTCACCAGACATTTTGGTTTTCTGAGTGGCCTCACCAGACATTTTGGTTTTCTGAGTGGTAAAACATTTTTTTAAACTTCTGAAAAAAGCTATTGGATTATAGTACTACGATAATTTTTCAAGTGTAGATTTTCCTGCAAGGACTTTTTTATTTAATTTACCCAGGCAGTCAGTAAAGAACAAATTCTTATTTACAATGACGGCCTACCACAGACGACACTAGAACTATTGTGCACCACCCTATGGGACTCCCAATCACATGAAACAGCCTGGAATCAAACCAGGTTCTGCAGTGACGCCTCTAACACTGAGATGCAGTGCCTTAGACCACTGCGCCACTCGGGAGACTTGTCTGAACGACAGTGAAGACACCCAGATAGACCACAGATTGCTATCTCATACTGTATGTAGCTGATATGTTAAACACCTATCCAAGCGTTGTGAGATCTGGCATGCGTCTGCAATGTAGTCAGCCTGGAATTCAGCCATTTACTGTAATGTTTCTCATTTGCATACATACGCACACTGTGGGTATCAACCCTCATCTAATTAGTCATGTCTCATGGGTATTAGGCCAATCAGCTGTGACCTCTGGGGAGGAGTCAGGTATTCTCATCAGTTCCTTTGTGTTCTTGACCCTAGAGTGAAACGAGTTACAAGGTAATTGTTTTGGTCCGAATCTATACCCAGACACCAGAAAGATCTCTTTCTTTTTTTAAATATACTTTTTGAATTCCTTTAATTTGAAAAGAATGCTTCACAGTGTGTTTAATGTTAAACATTATCATAAGTTCAGGAGATAGGACCAGACTTGAATACAACTCTTTCAACTAGTTGCCTTGAACGTAGCTCGTCCAGCAACTCAATAAGCACCAGCTGCAACTTATTGCTTATCATCCTCCACACCTGTCCTCACTCTCCTTAATCACCACTGCCACTGAAACCTGACCAAACTAACGTTCCTTCTCTCTGTTCTGAATTGCATCCCTCCGCCACCTATTAGCTCATATTGCTTAAGTTCCTCCAAGGACCTCCTGAGGGGGACTGTCATCACCACAGCAGCCTGCCTACCATGGGCTGATGATGATGTCGACCGAGACTCCAAGCCCAAACTCTACGGTCCACCACCTGGTTCCTTTATCTACAGTCCTTGGCTTCATCTCGTCAATTCTCATTCTCATCTTGAATCCCTTCACATCCATTCCATTCCCTCTGTGTTATTGACCCTAGAGTGAAAGGTATAACAAATTAATCTGGACAGTATGTGAAGGATCAATATCACCAATGTCCAATAGAGTTATTAAGTGGTGATGAACAGAACACAAAGCATCATATCTCATGTTATTGTTCTGTATTCTGACAACCTGTGTATGATAGTGTGTATAGAGTATGATTCTGTTTCAGCTCTTGACCCGGGACTATGACGGTTAACACAAGGAACTGATCAACTAAACGGCCCACACTGGACCATGAACATATTCTGAACTCATGTATGTAAATAAGACCATAAACTAAAAGGTTTTTCCAAATATGGCTTCCTGGCTTCCTCTTAAGTCCACAGTAGAATGTACTGGTGTGCCTCCAATTATGTCATGGAAGGCTCTGTGTTCATTATGTCAATGAGTCTGATTTTAATAAATGTTTATCAAATGTCTATACAATGTCTTTGTTCATTCATTTAACACCTTGCTGGTATTTCATTATTTTATGTGATTAGATTTTTACTACTAGAAGTGTTCAGTAAAGTTAGCATTCAGACGTCTAGTAGTTCTCATTTGGATATGCCCACTGTGGATATCTACTCTCATATCATTGATCTACTCCCATTGGCATTAGGCCAATCAGCTGTGACCTGTTAGAAAGAAGGAAGTATGTTAATCAGTTCCTTCATCTCCTCAGTCCTCCACCTCTGTCTGCTTATGAAAATCCTGCTTAGTACAGTGTTCCACATAATATTTTATTCTAATCATATCTATTTACCAGAAATATAACGGTCATTTAGAAAATATTTTATTTCATCTATACTTTATTTCATCCCAAAAATGAAACTTGCAACATGTTTAGTTATACAGAATGTGAAAGACTAATGTCACCATCATATTTACAAGAAATATCATTCCAAAAGAGATAAAGTGCTACATGTTTTTATTGACTTTCACTTTATTGTGAGTGCAGTTGAAGATAACTGTACAAGACCTTGACAACATAAAGCATATACTGTATTAGTGTGCACCATCATGTCTCTCTCCACTTGGGCTTAATATCAGAACATATTCAAAGCAGCTGATAACTAGTTCACGTGTTACAATTGTTAGGGTCAGAGCAGTTGGATCAAGACTGGGAGTCCATTGTTACGGGTCTGGTCAGAACAGTATTTAAAAGGGTCACCTCTCCCAGCTTCAGTACAGGCTCTAACCATCAACAGGGAAGATCCTTCACTCTCACCTCTCAACAGGGAAGTCTCTTCACTCTCACCTCTCAACAGGGAAGATCCTTCACTCTCACCTCTCAACAGGGAAGACCCTTCTCTCTCACCTCTCAACTGAAGTTCCACTTTTTTTACTCACCAGAGGTAAGTGATACTTCATGACTTATCAGAAGAGACAGTGGTCTCTTCATCAGTCTGTCTCAGCTGCAGACCTGGGAACAAATACCTGCATATTGTGCTTTTGTGAAAGAGCACAGTTAGAAAGATATGGCATATAGAAGCATACCAGATGGACATCATGAAAATGATCGGAGGAAGTTCAGGAGTAAAAACAAACAAAATATAATTATTGACTGTGTCCATAAAATGTATATAGTATGTATAAGCATGAAGTAGAGGCCTAAGCATTGTTGTTCACTAGTTTACTCCAATTAGGGAGGGGATGGTGGGGTTGGAAAGTAATAAAGGGAAATATATATTTTTTTAAAGGATATGTATGTATGTGTATATATATATATGTGTGTATGTATGTGTATATATACAGTGAGGGAAAAAAGTATTTGACCCCCTGCTGATTTTGTACGTTTGCTCACTGACAAAGAAATTACCAGTCTATAATTTTAATGGTAGATTTATTTGAACAGTGAGAGACAGAATAACAACAAAAAAATCCAGAAAAACGCATGTCAAAAATGTTATAAATTGTTTTGTAATTTATTTGCAAATTATGGTGGAAAATAAGTATTTGGTCACCTACAAACAAGCAAGATTTCTGGCTCTCACAGACCTGTAACTTCTTCTTTAAGAGGCTCCTCTGTCCTCCACTCGTTACCTGTATTAATGGAACCTGTTTGAACTTGTTATCAGTATAAAAGACACCTGTCCACAACCTCAAACAGTCACACTCCAAACTCCACTATGGCCAAGACCAAAGAGCTGTCAAAGGACACCAGAAACAAAATTGTAGACCTGCACCAGGCTGGGAAGACTGAATCTGCAATAGGTAAGCAGCTTGGTTTGAATAAATCAACTGTGGGAGCAATTATTAGGAAATGGAAGACATACAAGACCACTGATAATCTCCCTCGATCTGGGGCTCCACGCAAGATCTCACCCCGTGGGGTCAAAATGATCACAAGAACGGTGAGCAAAAATCCCAGAACCACACGAGGGGACCTAGTGAATGACCTGCAGAGAGCTGGGACCAAAGTAACAAAGCCTACCATCAGTAACACACTAGGCCGCCAGGGACTCAAATCCTGCAGTGCAAGACGTGTCCCCCTGCTTAAGACAGTACATGTCCAGGCCCGTCTGAAGTTTGCTAGAGTGCATTTGGATGATCCAGAAGAGGATTGGGAGAATGTCATATGGTCAGATGAAACCAAAATATAACTTTTTGGTAAAAACTCAACTCGTCGTGTTTGGAGGACAAAGAATGCTGAGTTGCATCCAAAGAACACCATACCTACTGTGAAGTATGGGGTGGAAACATCATGCTTTGGGGCTGTTTTTCTGCAAAGGGACCAGGACGACTGATCCGTGTAAAGGAAAGAATGAATGGGGCCATGTATTGTGAGATTTTGAGTGAAAACCTCCTTCCATCAGCAAGGGCATTGAAGATGAAACGTGGCTGGGTCTTTCAGCATGACAATGATCCCAAACACACCGCCCAGGCAACGAAGGAGTGGCTTCGTAAGAAGCATTTCAAGGTCCTGGAGTGGCCTAGCCAGTCTCCACATCTCAACCCCATAGAAAATCTTTGGAGGGAGTTGAAAGTCCGTGTTGCCCAGCGACAGCCCCAAAACATCACTGCTCTAGAGGATATCTTCATGGAGGAATGGGCCAAAATACCAGCAACAGTGTGTGAAAACCTTGTGAAGACTTACAGAAAACGTTTGACCTGTGTCATTGCCAACAAAGGGTATATAACAAAGTATTGAGAAACTTTTGTTATTGACCAAATACTTATTTTCCACCATAATTTGCAAATAAATTCATAAAAAATCCTACAATGTGATTTTTTTTCTCATTTGGTCTGTCATTGTTGATGTGTACCTAGGATGACAATTACAGGCCTCTCTCATCTTTTTAAGTGGGAGAACTTGCACAATTGGTGGCTGACTAAATACTTTTTTTCCCCACTGTATATATATATATATATATATATATATATATATATATATATATATATATATGCGAGAAAAAACATATGGGGGGATTGGAAGTGATGCAGACAATTACATTGATGGAAGTTAATATTAAAGCTGATCTACCCCCTAAAAAATAAAATTAAAATAAAATAGATATAAAACAAAAAAACCTGCGTATTTAAGTATTTGCATTTTAAAAACTTATTTTCTGTGTGTGAGTATTTTCAAATAATGTGGCGGAATTCAACTACTTCAATTTGAAGGTATTTGAAAGTGTTTTCAAATAATTCCTTATAAATACTAGGCTATTTGAAACTTTTTTCAAATTTTCTACATGTTTCCAAATACTTTAGAAATTCCCTTAGGACCAAACAGACCTGGGTCCAAATGTTGGAGAATTAAAGTATTTGTATTATAAAAAATACAGTTGTACGAATGCTTTTAAAAACGTGTTTGAAAGTTTTTGTCTGTTAGTAAAAACTATTTCCACATATTCCTTTTGGAGGTTGTGTTGTTACTGTGATGAAAATAACTATTCTATGCTTTCATGTTTTCATGTTTCAGTCACTGTCTGTCTGTCTGACATTTAACAAAGCTGCTACAGTTGATCTCTCAGCTAACTCCAACTCCAGTGGCAAGCTACCCTATAGCCAGAAAATGAGTGTTTGAACACTGAAATTGCTTCAAGAGATTAAAATGTAATTTCGAAGAGATAGCAGTAGAGATACATTAGCCTAAATGAATGCTAAGACATTTGGTCCTCATCAGTGGCCTTTCAAGAATAAAATGTTAATGACTCTGATGTGGAAAATTATCACTACACTTCTTAAAAATCAATGTTCTTCCAGAGTTTTTGTAGAATCAAGATAGACTTTATTACAGAGAGCAACAAAAGCCGAGCTGGTCTGCAGAGCAACTCCCGTCTACCTCTCAGCTCTCCGTTTATATAGTCATATTCACATACCTCTTAGCTTAAAGCCCCTCCCTCTTGGGTTCCCCCACCACCATCCTCAGTTTCCCCCTCTCTACCGCTCCGCCCACTTCCTTAGTCTATGATAGCGACTAAATTGGACTTTTATTCAGTTTAAAATCAATAGTAGTATAATCAATCAAGCCCTTGTCATGCAAAAACAATAATGTTCAGTTTAAACTCTGTTCAACCCCGGCTCACCCTGGCTTGACCTGAAGATTGATTGTTGTACATGATAGGTCCACACTCAATCTCTCAAACATACCCAAACCCACTCCTCTCTTCCCTCCCGTCATTCTGTAATTACTCATGACTAGTCTGAACTCTGTTCAACTCTGGCTCCGCTCTCAGGACCTTGTTTGAGGAGAGAGGCAAAAGGCATCAGTCTGGTTTCAGTCTCTGATAAGGTAGGAAAGCCATGGATTAGGTAAGAGCGAGGAATTCGACCCGAGGTCAGATCCCCATTTCACACACACTCAAACCCAGTAAAAGGAACCAATTAAGTTCTTGCCCAGCGACAGAGAATTCTGACTATATGTTCGTCATGTCTGTGATTAACTTTGTTTATCCAATAGTTTACTGAAAAATCTTCATCAACTCCTCTGTGCATTTTGGGATGTCGGAATTCAACCAGCAGTGTTTCTGGGAGGTTTGCACTTCATTTAGAAATAGACAGTCCCATGGTGTGACCAGTTGAGTACTGACAGAAAGTTAGCCCAATTATTAAATCATATGTCAATTCACCATAACAATTTCCGGTGAAAACCAAACACACTTCTGAAGGTAGAGTGCAGCAAAGTCACATGAACTGATATTTTCCTTTCCAGTATTTCCCCTGGACTGCCATGATGATGAGAATGAAGCAGATCTTAATTTTGTCCATCTTACTTTTTCAACTGACCACCTCGATTAAAGGAGGGGTAAGTGACTTTAAATAACTGACTTCCAAACACACAATTCAGGGGTTCATCTCCTAATCTACTAGCTAGTATTATATTTACCATCTTGCTAGTATGTGTTAACAAAAGTGAGAAAAGTTGTTTTATTGCAAGTCATTGAAATATTTAACGTTTTGTTCTGAAACAATTGTCTCTCTGTTATACTAACAGGATCATGCACCTAAACAGGCAGCTATACAGGTAAAATTACAACAAACATTGAAAAGAATTGAGTTATGTGAATTGTGTCTGGTTATATTGTCCATATGATATTTGGCCTACTATCTTGCTAGCAGTGGTGGGAACCAATATTGATAGTACGACATTATATTTATGTTGTTTGATATTGATATGAGGAAGACATATCGTGATGTTGGTTTATTCTTCCTATTAACCTACACTATTATGTAAAAAGGCTACATGACTGTTCCTGCATGCACAAAACCCGCTCACAGACCTTCTCACAGACTTCCTATTGTTTTCAAACTGTATGAAAGGGATATGATTGGGTAGTTTAAGGCTCCCAGAACCAGGGCTGGATAACCACACCTGGGGACCCGGTGCACCTACCTCCTGGAGCTGAAATAGTTACTGTTTTGTTATGAAACAATTGTCTCTATGTTATAATAACAGGCGGCTGGGCCACCTCCACAGGTTAAGAAAAGCCCACTTTAAACATCACAGTATTTATTTCCTGAATAATGTGACATATTATAGTTAGTCCGTTCACAACCCAGTTACGTGAAAATGGAAGGAAAGTAACGCATCATTTTCCAGGAAGTAGCCTTGTATTTAAAAAAATTTAAATAAATTGTAGGCTTTTTGAATGGTATTCAATGGGCAAAAACGTAGCACAATGGTCTTCAGCGCAAAAACATAATAAAAGCATCCACAAACACAAATATAATTCGATATATATCTTAAATGACTGTGTTTTCACAAATGTGTTGGTATAATCGGCAAGCCCATTTAAAAGATTAGGAGACAGGAACCGGAAGTATGATGTAGGATGATATTGAGCCTATAGTGATAGTATTATTAATTTATTTTGAATCATTATTTCACTTTTCAGAGAAAAGTTGAAAAAGTAATTACAGGTCATTACTTATTGAACATGTTTTTATTGACATTACATACTTTGTTATGAATATTAAACAACTAATATATGCCATATAAACAAATATGTCCATAATTGTCAGTTACATTAGCATTATACATTGTCTCTGATTCAATGAAATCATTGCTTGTCCTGGGTTGAACTTTGAATTATGTAATTCATATGAATTATGAAATTTAAAGGAATGGATACATTTACATAGCAATTAGCATCACGCAATACAAGTATTTGATTACTTGTGGTCTGTGTACCTCACGGCCATTTGCTATCCTAATTTGTGTGGTAATTGGAAAGACAAGAAACGTAACGTAATTATTTTTCGGAAAACAAAAAAAATATTTATAATGTTCCAAATGAAGTTTAACCCAGAAGTTCATATGAACCAGGAAGTTCAGTCAACTGTGCTGAAACAGCTGCAAGATCTGTAGCAGCAGCAGCAGGAGGATAACATCTTAATATTTGCAGGTTAAACATACAGTAAAGCTGTAGCTAAGATATTATACTTATCATGAAGTTAGCTTGCTACCAGAGTGAATTCATCATGTGGACAACTAAACACTAGTGAGCTAGCTAGTGCTTCAACCTGCTTGACTGCCCATGTCGTGCTCTGCAGCAGTAGGGCTGGAGGGTGCTGGAGGGTTGCCCCAAACTTATAAGGTTGTGGGGCCCTGTCCAGAAACAACCCCTAGCCCCTAGACACTTGTGGAGATCTTAGAGAATTGGGCAGGTTTAAGCAATAGGGCCAGAATACCACCTACCCTATTAAAGGGAAGGTGACGGTATCACCATGTCATCACCCATCAAACCCTCTCAGATTTCCATGTAACTAGAGGGTAGGGGCTGCGGTTTGTTTCTGGACATGGCCTGGGTTGTAAATGTATTCTTTTTTCACATAAATTATTATTTTAACATACACCCTTGATGTCCGTGTAATTGATTAATCTAACAGCAAATGTAATGTTCTAAATGTAATACAGTCACCGAATTTCTCTCAGCGTCTGTATTTCTCTCAGTACAATACCAGAAACTTTGGATGTAAAACGCTGCCATTCACTCAATATTGACAGTTGACAGTTGAATCATTTCAATACCTACAGAAAGCTGAGACTCTCCTCTCTTCACCTGTAATATCAGTAGTTGCTTTCAAAACGGTGTTTTATTCTGTGATTGCATTTTAAAATGTTGCGCAAACTGTATCCTTAGCGGACATATTATTATCACGCAATGAATGTATGTAACCTTCTTTGCAGCCTTGTAAGTCTATATTCTTTATTCACAGCAGAATCCTGAATTTGTCCGCCAGAATTCTGCTCCTGCTGGCCAGAATCATCAGGCTCCTCCTGGCCAGACACCTGCCCTTGTCCGCCAGAATTCTGCTCCTGCTGGCCAGAATTCTGCTCCTGACAACGAATTGAACGCTGTTTGGGTCAGTACCAGTCTTGTTATTTGATACTGCACGTCAAATAACACTAAAGACCAATTGAAGTGCCAAAGAAGCTTTTTGACCAAACAGGACTCGAATATCACTGCACATCACTTAATTATTTAACACGTACATCTTTTTTTAACGTTGTGATTACACTATCACTAGTAACGCATATGTCACAGTGCACTGCTAAGTATGCTTTGAGTTATGCCGCTTACGCACAAGGCAGACACACACTTCTCTAAGAAAAAAAAGCTAGTTGATGGATGCGATCAATGTTCTTATCCACAAGAAATCGACAAAAACATTGCAAAACTACATTATCTGTTTCAGTATAGCTAAGTAGTTAGTAACCTATCAACGTGTCATCATCTGAATACCCCAATTTTATAAGACACTTTTTGTATTTGATTGCTGGTCGTACCCGGTCCAGTCAAGCAAGCCACTAGCCAGAGAATGAAGCTAACTAGCTTGGGGCAGCATGGCTAGGTAGCTAGCTGGCTAGTTTATTTAGTTTGCTATATACAGTGCCTTCAGAAAGTATTCACACCCCTTAACTTTTTTCACATTTTGTTGTGTTACAGCCTGAATTTAAAATGGATGAAATTGAGATTTTTGTCACTTGCCTACACACAAAACGTATTGGTGGCGCTTGGCTATGGAATGCCATCCGGGTCGCTGCGTCTCAAAAGACACAATTCGAATAACACTATATTATGTGTAAAATAACACTATTTGATGCATGAAATAAGCTTTTAATTTGAAGTGTCAAATAATGAAATTCTATTATAGAATATTATGTGTGCTGAATTTGCATGTGCAAGCCAATCTCCACCACTACGGTGAGTAGCACTGTCAAATCTGTAAAGAAAAGTCTGCAAACAAGCACACACACTGGCCCTATTGATGGGTTTACAATACAAGTTGGTAATAAGCCATCATTTTACTGCATTGGTAATAAGTCATAATATTATCACGTAAGTAATAAAACAGTTTTTTTTATGAATGTGAAATTGATCTGTATAGTTATATATTTGATTCCCCACGTAACAGTTCTTCATTTTATTATAATTTCAGTTAAAATTTGGAGATATCATTCAGTTCAGACGTCCAAACTATATCAACCACTATGGAATTTATGTGGATGGGGAAGTCGTTGGACAAAATGAAGGACAAGATCTTTTTCACCGCACGAGAGGTAAATATATCTACTGTAATTTCACACATTCTAATTCATCAATAAAAGATAGACCTACCCAATCCTTCCCCAAATCCTATCACATAATTTTATAACATGGCTTTACTTCCATTTCTTTTCGCAAACACAGATGGTTGTTTTTTTTCATCAGTAAAGGAAGAGGAGAAGGGAAACAAGCTTGGGGAAGATAATTTACCTGTACAGGCTCTAAAACACAACTACTGGGATGAAAACCCCGAAAAAGTAGAAGAAGGTCGCTACCAAGTACAGACTAAGGAACAGATGATTGCAAAAATTAAATTGATATTCACGAATTGTAAACCGTATAGTCTCTTGGAAAGGAATTGTGAGCATACAGCAACATACATTCGCTATGATAAGGATGTCTGCATTCAGGTACGTTTATTTGTTATTCACACTTCTGAATATTAATAACAGTAAGCCTACAGCGTGTACTAAATCTTTCAAATAAACTGTATAAACTAACTATATGGATTGTGTAACTACTGTATAAGGATGAGAGATTATAGAAATGTAACACTGCAACTACCTTCCCAGTGTCAAGGCCCAACTCTAGATTCATGAGATTTCGGTGTTGAAACTACTACTACCTCAATGAGAGTATAATTTAGAGCTTTGTTCTCCAATCCTGGTTTTGAGGATTCACCGGATGTGTAGGCATTTGTTCCCTCGCAGTACCAACTGATTCAACTAAACAACTTTAATCAAGAATGTAGCTGCATTGCGTGTAGTACTGGATTGGAACAAAACCTGCACACCATTTGGGGCCAAAGCACCAGAACTGAAGACCACTGGATTAGAGGATGATTATCTGTTTTTGTTTCTCTCTCCTTTCAAACTGTCTACAGGAAGGTGCAAATCCTATACTTAGCGGTTTGGCCAAATTATTTGCCAAACAAGACAAGAACGGACAAGGTGAAAACATGAAGAAAGAATGGGCTAGAAGAGGTCTTCGTATCCTACGTGATGAAACCCATTCCAACCAGGGTGCACCAGCAGCTTGAGATCTAGCTGTGTTCTAAACCTGCGTGATGAAACCCATTCCAACCAGGGTGCACCAGCAGCTTGAGATCTAGCTGTGTTCTAAACCTGGGTGATGAAACCCATTCCAACCAGGGTGCACCAGCAGCTTGAGATCTAGCTGTGTTCTAAACCTGGGTGATGAAACCCATTCCAACCAGGGTGCACCAGCAGCTTGAGATCTAGCTGTGTTCTAA